ATGGCTTATTGAAATTTTCCTTTGATATGCATCTTAACTTGCAAAGCAGTGGCACAGGGTGGGGTAAGGGGTGAGAACCCAAGGTATAGCATAGCATTTTATCGTAGTTTGCTCTCACCTTCACTGACCTGATGTGCACCTCCCCAACAAATCGTTAGCGTCTTACTCTTTGCCTAGGGCTCCGTGTTTTAGAGGCTGCAAGTCCCAATTAATAGAAAAGGAAATAGTGCCCAACTCCCATACGGAAATCAAGGCAAAAACAATAATAAACCAAAAGATAAGTGTAAGGAAGTCCAACAAAAGTTTGGTTTTTCTCCTAATGGCTGCTTTGATGCTATCTGTGATGTTGTGATTTATAATAAGAATATATGTTTGGTCTTCATCCCCATTTCTGGCACTGAGCTCCTAAAACCCTTGAAATTTCTGCAGTGCTGAGAGTGAAAAGGGTTCGTTTGTTATGTTAATGAGGTGACTTTCGGGAAGCACCTAAGGTTGGGGGCTGGTTGCCAGAGAAACCAACCGTGATTAGAGGGTTGGAACTTTCAGTCCAGGGAGAGGAGAGGGACTGGAGATTGGGTCCAATCACCAATGACCAACGACTTAATTAGTCATGTCTATGTTTTTAAGCCTACATAAAAATCCAAAAGGATGGGGTTTGAAGAGCTTCTGGGTTTCAATTCACTTGGAGATTTGGGGAGAGTGGCTGTTGTCCAACTGAAGCTCATGTGCCAGATGCACAGTGAGGCCAAACAAACTGAAATGTTGGAGTTTGGAATGGAGAAAGGTTTATTGCAGGGCCAAGAAAGGAGAATGGACGGCTCATGCTCAAAAGACCCAAATTCCCTGATGGTTTTTGGGGAAGAGCTTTTATAGGCAAAATGGTGTTGGGGGGAGAGCTGCAGGATGTGTGACCTCCCTCTGATGGTTTGGTAGGGAGGTAACTGGGTGGTGTTCCTGGAATCTCAATCATCAGCTGTCTGGTTCCAACCAGTCTGAAGTCCACATGCTTGTTTTCAGCCTGAAGTTACCATCCTCCACCTGGGTGGGGACCTTAGTTCCTGTAGAACTCAGAGATGATAAAAGAAATTTTCACATGTTGAGGTAAAGGGAAGTCATTCTGGCTTATACATGAGTTAACTTGAATTTTATGCTAACTAGAATAGCCAGTTTGTGGCCTATCAAACATACATTGTACATCTGCTTTAATTATTAAAGAAAAGGGTACATTGACCAGAAGTAAAGAATGTCATTGTTAAAAATAAAGATTAAATGCCTCCCTTCCTGGGATGCCAATGCTGGTACTCCTTTGATGATGCGAATACCTTCCCAGGTGCGAAGGCCATACTACTTGCTGTGTACGTCCTGATCTGTTCTTTGGGGTTTTTTTGTTTTTGTTTTTGAAACCTTGAAGGAATGTATCCCTGACTTGTTTGATGTTCTTTGTTCTGACAAGACATAAAACTGTGCTGAAAACCATGCTTCTCCAGAGCAGGTCTCAAGAGTTATCTGAGAGGCTGTCTTCTGGGCTGTAGTCCTCAGTTTGGCTCAGATAAAACTCTTATCTATTCCTATTATAAATTGTTTACTGATTATTTTTGTGGACAGAGATATGTATCAGATTGTTATGTATGCCCCTTGAGGAGGAACCAGGAGCCTGCCCATTGCTGCATTATTGCTTCTTGACTGCCTCTCCTTTGTTTCTGCATTCCCTCACTCCTCTAATTAGTAACTATTTGAATCTGCCCTTTGGAACTCAGGGAAGGTCTAGGAGGCTGAAACCTTTTTCCTACAAACAAGAAATGGGGGGACATGGAAATGCTTTCGTACCCAGGAGAGGCCCACAGGGTTCTGCTCGGTTTCGTGGCACACCTGGAAAAGGCATGGAAGCTCCATGCCCTTTCCCCATATGCATCTCTTCCATCTGGCTGTTCCTGAGTTATATCATTTTATAATAAACCAGTAATCTACTGAGTAACCTGGTTTCCTGAGTTCTGTGAGCTGCTCTAGCAAATTACTTGAACCCAAGGAGGGGGTCATGGGAACCTCTGATTTTATAACCATTGGGTCAGAAGCACAAGAACAATCTGGACTTGCAATTGGCACCTGAACTGGAGGGTAGTCTTGTGGGGCTGAGCCCTTACCTCTGGAATCTGATGCTATCCCCAGGTAGAAAGTGTCAGAATTGAGTTGAATTGTAGGACGCTCAGCTGGTGTTGGATTGCTTGGATGTATGGGGGGAAAAATCGCACACATTGAAATTGGATGCAGAAACTTACTATCTTTAGGGAGACATCAAATATCTCAATATTATTTGTGATTCTCTTTTTTTTTTTTTTTTTTTTTTGGAGAAAAAGGTGCCCTAATTTGCTGGGGCCTAGTGAGCCATTTCAGTAATCCAGCACTAATGCTAGAAAGGTGAAACAAAAACTCTTGCAGCAAGGAGGGGCAAGTGTAGTTTGATGGGTTATTATGTATGCTTTCTCTAGAAGGAGAGAAGGTTACTACCTTTGTAGTAACCTATGTGTTAAGGAGGAAAAATACTAAGAAATGTGACTTTTACAGCTGAACGTGGCAGCAGTGAAGTCAATAGTAAAGTTCTATTGTGATACTATTTAGCAAAAGCTACACACAAAATCAAGCAAAGACATCTGCCCACATGGTATGTTGTACACTGTACGTATTGTAGGAAACACCCAGAATCTCAACCTAAGGAAAAAGAAAAAAGAAGTGGGAAGGAACGCAATCTGTTCCTAAAATGGATATAACTTTATTTATAACAGATATCAATGATAATACCTTCCACAGAGCAAAAGCAGTAATCCAAAGGCTCACCAACCACACTATGAAACTTGTGTACACGTTGCAATCAAGGATCCAGACCTTAGCAGGGACGAAACTTTTGCTTTTTCGAAGCAAATTTAGCTAAAATATCCATAGATACAAAACAATCATAACTCTAAGACTTTAATGAATCACCAAAAACTAAATGTCTAATCTGATTTTTTTTTTTAAAAGACAACATATCATTTACCTTAAACTTCCTCAACTCTCTGGACAAAGAAAAAGATTCTGGGTTTTTAAGTTCTTCAAACAGGAATTCCTCAGAGGAAATCTGCTTTGAGCACTGTGCAGGAATCCATTTCTGAGAGAAGCTCAGAATAATGTGGAGTCCTCAGCCTCCTCCATGGAGGAAAAGACCCCTGTAGGAGACAGTACAGCTCTAGGGCACAGAAGCCTTGGAGGCAGACTAAGTCCTTCGAATCCCAGAACTTCTGCTTATTAATTATGTGACCTTTGTCAAGGTACTTATCCTCTCTGTGCTTGTTTTCTCAGTTATGAAATGGGGATACCAATAGTATCAATCACACAGATATAAAGCTCTCATAAAGGGGACAAAATAAGTATACAATATTAACTATTACTGTCTGACCAAAAAAACTGTGTGTACACGTATCTTTAGGAAAAGAAAATGACATCTCTTTCATCATTTTTGGAGAGAGGCTGGGACATGGATAACGAGATAGTTTGCTATTAAAACTTTCTTCTGACTTGAGGAACCATTTAAAAGTAAATTTTGACATGTCCGTATTCCTTATGGTAGGCACAACCCTAGCCTTTTCTCTGTCCAGAAAATTTTAGGGAGACATATTTTAAGGGAGAAAGCATGACATGGTAGGACTTAGCAAAAGGGAGGGAAAGGGTTTTTTCTCATGAGAAAATGAGAGTCTATGGAGATTCCTGCGATTTATCTGTTAAAACTGCAAGCGGGGTATACATAAAAGTACAATAGGGCTTCCCTGGTGGCACAGTGGTTGTGAGTCCGCCTGCCGATGCAGGGGACACGGGTTCGTGCCCCGGTCTGGGAGGATCCCACATGCCGCGGAGCGGCTGGGCCCGTGAGCCATGGCCGCTGAGCCTGCGCGTCCAGAGCCTGTGCTCCGCAACGGGGGAGGCCACAACAGTGAGAGGCCCGCGTACCGCAAAAAAAAAAAAAAAAAAAAGTACAATAATATCCAGAGGGAAAAATGTTCAGAGATGGGTAGCATTACTAGGGCAGGGGAAGTGCACACCATATGGCAGGTTATAAGAATCAGCAGGGAGCAAGGACAAAGTTAGAGGCCGGTCAGAGTTCAGAGGTCATGAGTTCTGGAGTAAGAAACTCCGTTTCCCAAATAAGTGGTGAGGACTCCAGAGCTGTCTTCCTTACTCCTGCCTCTGCCAAAGATTTAGGGAACATGTTTCTCTGCGGGGTTACTAGCAACTTGAGTCAGGCAGCAAACATTTATTAAGCACCAACTGTTCACCAGGCTCTGTGTTGTCAAAAATAATAGCCTTATTCCCTTTATTACCAAGGTTGCTCAGTCTCTGTCCTGGCCACTCCTCTGGCCATGGGGCAGGGAGGTTAACATAGGTCTCTAATTTTGCATAACCAAAGGCCTCCTCCCACCCGACCACCCTTCACATTAGAGTTTTACTTTTAGGGTAGGGATCAAAGAGCAAACAGACAAAACTGAGGGACTACCAGAGAGATGGCAGTAAAAGGAGGATCCACTGACAGCTGGTACTTCAGTTGAACAACACAGAAGATGATTTCAGATCCACAGCACTCCACCCCTCTAGCCTCCACAAAGATGACACGAGAATGAGGCACACTACCTCTGCAGCAACATTACACAGATCTTCCAGAAAATGTAACATTACAGAAATGACAGACCAGCAGATTCTTACTCTTACACAAAGCACTTCTTTTTTTTTTTTTTTTCCTCTGGCTGTGCAGCCAGGATTTTAGTTCCCCAGCCGCAGGATCGAACCTGTGCCCCCTGCAGTGGAAGCGCTCGGAGTCCTAACCCCTGCACCACCGGGGAATTCCCCACAAACCACTTCTTGAGATGAAACAATTTTAAAGGTGTTTTTACATAAGGATTTAGATTAGAATTTACTCTGCTTCTTCAGCTGTGCCTTTTGCAAGCTTGGCTCAACTTATCCTTCCAATACTCTTCTTACTCAATTCCTTTATCTTTCAGCTCCTGTTTGACGCGTTTCAGATAGCCAGGATCAGGGTAGCCATACCTGCAGAAGAAAAAGGCCCTTAGCTTCATCACAGATGGTTTTAAAGAATCTGTACAGTAGGTCCCCGGCATTAACATTCAGTGTTGCAAATATTCACAAGCAATCCTGAAGGCTGATTTGTAAGTGTGCTGATGTGAGTCATTTCGCTAGTAAGTAGGCCTAGCTGTCTGCCCAGGATCTGCATTCCAACAAGACTTTAATTTTCAGCTCATGGGAGGCAATGACTCTTATAAAGTTGTAATATACTATATTTTTATGGACGGTAATCATTTTGCTACAGGAAGATTTTCAAATTTGGGAAATTAAGTCTTAAGATGTATTCCCTTTTGATTAAGGGTCTGAGGTATTCTATCTGAATTTCATAAAGAGCAATTGGATTGCCCATAATACAACTTCCATCTCCATTAAGTAAGACTTTTTCTAGAGTTCTGTTAGCCAAGTGAATTTAGGATCTCTATGGACTCATGGGAGGGGAGGGTAGAAGAAAGGGTGATCTTAAAAGAAGACGAAGTAAATAACATTCCTAGGATCTACCCTTCAAATAGACATGAAACCCCAAATTAAATCACCTTAGATACCATTCATCTTGGATTCTGAAGATCTGCTGCCCACTGATGCGAAATTTATTAACTGTATGACGCTTTGTGGTTGGGAGGGTAGAAGGTCATAGGAAGCAATCTTTTTGTCTTTGAGATTATCACCCCAGATGAGCATCTGTCAAAACACTGCATCCAATCCCACTGCTAGAAACTGTCTCCTTGCAGTCACATCCTCAAATTGCCATGTTTTACGACCTCTAAATTCTGTTTAGCAGCCATTCTGTTTCAAAAGCTTCTCACCTTTCTGGTCCCCCAAACCTGGACGTTTTGTGGTGGATATCATTCCACGTAATGACATCTGAGACTCCTAATACTCGAGAGTCTCCCACTGTGAAAATCAGTTTTTGGTCAAAGGCCTTACGAAGCAGATGCAAAACCTCATTTCCTTCCTTGTTATCAGGCAAGTATGCAGTTCGACATATTCCAGAAAATCTCTTTCCTGGGTTTGGGTGCTCTTCCTATATGAAGGCAAGAAAATGTCACATGAAAACATTGTGTCAGAATTTTACCATATGTGTAGATGCGTTCATATGCATACAGAGCAAACAGAAATCAACAAAAGTATTCAAGGTTTGCTCACGTTCCCCATATAATTCATATTTTTCTCCTCTTTCCCCAAGTTCATGCTGGGAACACTACCCACCTTCCTGACTTCCCCCACTCCAGCGCACAATCACCACCCACCCTTTCTCTGCCTTAATAGACACAAAAGATACCTAAATTATAAGTAAACATTGTTACCTTTATCAGCATTTAAAATCCTTGCATATGACCATGGAGATAACTACCTGGGAAATCCACTGTCTAATTGGTAACAGAACAGTCCCTGTTGCTCTGGTAATCCCAGCATACTGGAAAGAAACCCATGGACCTCAGAAACACTTACTGTTTGTATGCCTCCTTCAATACTGTAAGTAATCGCAATGGTGCCACAGGATTCATAACCTGGAAGTGAGTCTCTTTTGAAAATGACATGCATGTTTCCGTCTGGCTGATTCCCTTTCTGGACACCATAGGAAGTCTGGCACAAAGGACAGACTGGCTTATATGACAAGGCTTTGTTGATACAAGGGCTGCAGAAATCATGCTTGCACTTTGGGAGCACTTGTCTGTTACTAATGGTGTTCAAACAGATGGTACATATGTCCTTTTCCTTGTCCACTCCTGACACCTCAGAACTGGTAGAGCGCTGCAATGTTGGTGAAGCTGTTTTTGAACCATTACTATCAGTGTCTGTGGGTGTTTCATTCCATTTCTCTCTAGCTAATGGAGACATTCCCGCTCTGTTTAAGACATACTGTTTTGCCTTCGTAAGGTGATTTGGCAACCCAATCAAAGTCATTGACTCTTGATTTAGCACAAAGTCTATATCTGGATGCCTTTTTCGAAAGTCATCAGAGAACTTGGTCCCATGTAAGTGCTTTCTCTCCTTGCCCAAAAGTTTCAGCAAAAGAACCTCTCTCATAATCTGACCTGAGACATGTTGATAGGCATCAATGAAACTTGAATAAGCATGCACAGATAGATCTAACTCCTTGGTTTTAGGTTCAAATAGAACGCAGGTTTTCTGACTTGTTCCCAAAACCTTACTTTGAGTGTCGTACTCCTTTTCTATCTGTGATATCTCCTGGAGTAACTCTGCTTCTAAAAGCTTATAGTGAGCAGTGTCAACCTCAATTCCATTCATCGTGTGCTTGGGGGTCAATATTTTCACAGGTGCCTTGACAAGACTTTCAGAGATTTCTGAGGCAAGAAAATGTTTGGCAGCTGAAATGTCACATGCGGTCCCAAGGAGAGTTAATTCTTCTCCTTCCTCCTTTATGAGGAGCTTTGTAAACTGGTGATTTAATTCCTGTTTGATTTTGTGTGCCTGCTTACTGTCTGCCAGAGTAACACATTCCTGTATCACAGAGTCTCCACTCTTCTGAAATTCTCTGACAAAAGACTCGCAAGCTGCTTCGAGGTTACCTGATTGACTTGAGGTGAAGTCTAAATAGACCATATTCGGAGAACTCTTCTGAGTTTTTATTTTTGTACCAAATCTTTTCTCTATTGAGTATATTTTATCAGGGCAGGTGTATGTGAAGTATTCAAAGAAAGCCAAGGGAACTTCAAAACAGTTGCTTTTTTCTTCCGACCTGGTGTTTGGTGCAGAGGGAGAAACACAGCTGTTCCCGTCCTGCTGATGGAGTGGCCCCCTCTCTGTTGTCAAAGGGGAAGATTCTCGTTTCTGCTCCTTTTCCAGGAGTTGTTCACTCAAGAAGCCATGTATTTTTTCAATATCTCTGAAGTCACCACGCACTTTCTCAATTCCTTCATGGCCCTTCACTCGCTCGACACTGGGGCAGAGAATGGCGATGTGTTCCCTCTGCTCTTTAGAGAACAGGTGACAGTTCAGTTCAGCTGTGACAGTAAGAAAGATCTGAAATTTTAAAAGGGAACAAATAAAATCTATTAGACATCCAGGTCTACGTTCCTCTCAGGAGAATGTCTAGAGACTAGAGAAATAACCACTGTGACTTCTTTCCAATCCTTTTTGCAAAGCATGCAATGTATCACAACCCAGAGGCACCCAGCCCTGTCTGTACATTAGAATGGCCTGGGGAGAAAAAAACAAAACAAAACAAAAACCAAGGCCCAAGCACATCTCCAGAGATTCTGATGTAAATGTAGAGCCCGGGCACTAACATTTTTAAAAGTTCCATGGACAGGAAGTCCGGATTCTAGAGCTGCCACTCTTGCTTTGACCTTGGGGAGTAGGGCAGAGGGAAGGCACTTCGTTCGACTTTCTGGGTAAATTGCTGTGTCTCTCACTGAAGAGTGTGAGCCTGGGAGGGAGCCATAAATCTGAGGATGATGTTTTTTCCTATTATTGTTTTTTCTCTTCTGCCCTCGTCCTTCTTTCTTTTTTTCTCTTTTTAAAAAACAAAACAAAACTAACCCCCTAACTGCATGCAATGTTGCTGGGCCCTCTAAACCCTGGCCTTTAGAAGCTCAAGTATAAGACAAACACCAGATTAGGCGAAAAAGGACAGAGGCGAATTGAATGTAATATAAAAGCAAGATTTCTAATGTTTTGTTCTCCCTTGAGGTCTTTGCACAAGCTATTTCCTCTGCATATAACAACCTTCCTCTAGATCTTCAAAATGTTTCCTGAATCCAGCCACTTCTCACACCTCCATCAGGACCACCAGAGTCCAAGCCATTGTCACCTTGCGCCTGGCTCACTGCAACCCCTCCTAACTGGACTCTCTGACCTTCCACTTCAGCCTCTTCCTAGATTCTGTTCTCCACACAGCAGCCAGAGTGATCCTGCAGAAATGTGAATCAGATCACTCTATTCCCCTGCTTAAAACCATCTAAGGAATCTCCTAACATTTAAGTTAAAATCCAAAGTCCTAACCTTCATCCCTCAAAGACCTGACTTCTAGGTACCTCTCCAAGTTCCTCTCTCACTCTCTCTCTTGCTCTCTGCCCTCCAGCCACACTGGTCTCTCTCTTTGAAGCTCTTGGGCTCAGGATGTGAGCTCCTGTCTGGATGTGTGTGGGGAGGTGGGGAGGGGGGTGTCAGCTTTACACTTGTTTTTTTCCCTCTGTCTAGAACCTTCTTCCCCTAGAAATCCACTTAGCTAGCTCCCTTACTTCATTTGTGTCTCTACTCAGAGGTTACCTCATTTGAGAGGTTTTTCCTGATATCCTATTTAAAATAGTAGTCCTGTTACTATCATTTATCCTGCTTTATTCTTCTTCCTAGCAGATATTTATCACTGGCAGATATTTTATTCCATATCTATATGTTTACTATTATTGTCTGGTTCCCTCACTAGAATGTAAGGTCCCTGAGGGCAGGGTCTGCTGTGCTCCTGGCTGATCTTCAGCTCCTGTGACAGTGCCTGGCACACAGTAGGCAGTTGATACTGATTTGTCCAATGACTCTGCATGGCTGGCCCCTGCTCATCATTCAAGTCTCAGGACAAATGTCACCTCCTCAGAGACTCTGACTTCTGGTTGGAAATAACACAGATTCCTTCTCCTTCCTTGCCCTGGCCCTGTCACGCTCTAAGGCGAAACCCCATTATATTTTCTCCTTAGCACATATCACTCTCTGAAATGGTTTTATTTATTTTGTTTTCTTGCTTATTGTCTTTCTATGTACCTCTCCATCCCCAGCAGGGACCTGTCTGTTGTGTTCACCTCTGTGTCCCAATGTCTACAACAGTGCCGGGCTCATAATAAATCCTCAGCAAATGGTCCTTGGGCTGGAGAGTTAGCTGCAGGAACATACCTAGCTCCTTCAATACTCACCTTCTGGACACAGGAATCCACAGCGCTAGAAATGTCCTTTTCATTTGAATGCTTCTCACCAGGGCTTGCCCCTTTTCGTGACTGTGTCAAAGAAGACATCCTGGTGTTCTCTACTGCATTTTCATTGGGTTCCAGGAAAATAGTCACAGGTTTGTTGTCAACCACGATTTGGTGCTTTCCTTTCTTCAACACTCGCTCCTTACCTTCAGTGGAGACATTAAATATATACATACACATAGAAATGGGAGCAATTTCAAATAATCCTCTTACTCATGCATCTGTACCTTGCCCCAGCACCCTCCCAGTAAGGGCTGCTCCCTGCATATCCTGGAATGGTGGGTTGGTGATAAGGTGAGGGAGCTATTCAAAACTCTAAAGTAGGCAGCTTAAGTTCTACTGTAGAAAGGAAAGCTTAATGATAATGGAATATCGTCCACTCATTAAAAGTCATGTTCCTGAAACTGTTGCCAGTTCCCCATTTCAATGACACTCATTATGAGTTAAGTGAAAACAGCAGGAA